TTGACACACTGCTATTTTGAGGCAGTGGAATGTGATTGCCCTTTTTGGTCTGAAAGCGTGGGGCAGGATTTCAATGCTGCTTTAAGAGCACATTGTCAAGATAGTGATACGCCCCTACACAGGTGCTGGACATTGATGGTCTATTTTCTCTGCAGTGCACTGTTCTCTCTTACTACCTGGCATATTGTCAATTGTTAAAGCAATAGAAATGTCTGATCGATTAGTTGTTACACTTATATGATAAATTAAGTTATCAAGTACAACCCCAATGCGCTGGCACACCAACCTTTTTCATCACTGTGAATGTGTCTCACAAAGGTTTGCTACTCTGCAAACCTTTTTTACGAAGGATGATTAAACATGAGATCAGTTCCAGTGAAGCTCCAGAGAAACTTACAACCCTAGAAGAAATCAGGTCATGTACAGGAGGTGGTAGGGCTGTACAAAGTATGACTGGCAGAGTCCCATGGGCACACATGGTGCACGTGACTGGCTTGTGTATCCCCAAAACAAAGGATGTCTGAAAAGAAAGTCTTGGGGCAATCAAATGAGGAAGCATTGAGGACCCATGTGAAATCTACAGCCCAAAATAATCCAAACAGGAGGCAGTGGTACAGCTGAGGAAACAGTACAAAGATGACAGGGACAAATACAGACATTTTCCACCAAATTCACATGCAGGAGGCCAAGGACGAACTTATTCAGCCGCTGTTCTCCCACATTTCTGATCTGTTACACAGACACACACGCCAGCGTTGGCAGTTAGCTACAGCCAACCTTTATACTTCAGTTTAAGATCAGATGATAAGTGTTATGTTCATGCTATGGCTGTGACAGTATGTATCAGTGGTACTTTGTGTTGCTCTTCTTCTTTTTATTTCAAAAAACTGGGTTGTCTGGCAGTATGTGCCTGAAATGTATTTAAAGCGCCCACTCACTCTCTGTAAAGAGATAAAAAGATAAAACATACATTCAAAGGTGATTCACAGCTTGTGTTGCGCTCAGTGTTGAGCTTTTCGGAGGAGAGATAAAAAAGAGGATTTTTGTGTTGTTCAGAGTTTACCCTCATTCATTTTTTATTTATCTACCGGTTCATCTCAGAGCACTTAAAGCACAGTGTTGCTCCATTTTCATTTCATTAAGTCGGTTCATCTGAATATTTGTTTACCAGTGTAAAAACTAGAGACTGTCTTGTGATTGATAACATCAGTGGCATGTTGGCATTCTGACCCATGACATCTCAGTAATTTTTACATTATTACAGTAATAGTTGTATTACTTGGGAGAGTAAGATGATCGGTCAAAGTGGGGCAGAAGAGGATGACACACACAGAATGTTCTGTGACAGAGCAGGACCGGTGTTAAGTCGAGGCCTGTCTGCCTGCTGCAGAGTTTTTCCTACCTTGACTTTCGCAGCACGTCGTCGTCTTATTTGTCCCATCAGTTTCTTGATTATCCAAAAAACTCCAGTACAATATACACAACACAACATAACATATATTTTCTCTGTTTTTATGCAGTTACTTTGTTGTAGAACTGTGTGCAGCGCTCTTTTTTCCCTGCCGTCGCTCTTTTTCCCTCTCACTCTGTCTCTCTCATCATCGGCATCACGGTGGAACATCCATTAAGCTCTTCCCTTGGCAAACAGAATCCAGCAGATAGGCCTGCCCTCACTGTGCATCAAGTTAGCGTTGCCTGATTGGGGTTTACACAACACACTTGGTGGACGTCCCTCGCGCCTCCAATGCTTTTCATTATAAGAGTACTCATGGGTTTGACCACACATCTTAAAACTTGGCTTTCATTTTCATCTCAACCCCTGCATCTGTGAAGTTTTGTGATTGTACAGTGAAGATGCTATTGCTGTCCTCAGACAGATAAACATTTCGTGTCTCCAGGACCACATTTTACTGTGATGACACACACACACACACACACACACACACACACACACACAGTGAGTAAAGGCATAATTTGGCTGTTCCAGTCTTGTCAGATTTCATCCATGCAAACTAAACTGCATTGTTTTTCAACTATGGGTGATGGAATGTTTATATTTTGTCAAATGTAGTCAAATATAGATTATTTTGTTCCATGAAGCAACTGAACAGAAAAAATGTCCCCTGTCATAAATTCACAAACACTTGAATTTAACAGTCTGCGTGTTATCTTTCTTGGAAGCATCCCGTAGCTTTAATGTTTTTCAGAGTTCTCTACACAAATAAATAAAACAACACAGAAATGCTGCAAGTTGTGCAGATCATTGAAACTGTGGGAAAACACAATGGAAGTTTCCATATGACACAGAAAACTGCAAAGCCTAATGCTAGTATGTACATAGCATTAGCTAGATTCACACAATGAGTGTTAACAACTAAAATTCACATTGTTAATTCTGTTTCAATTATCATCGACAGGTGGTCAATAAAATAAGTTAATGATAAGTTTTCAGTGTCAACCCTGGAAATTTCTGTTGCGTTGCATTGACTATAACTCTCCATATTGTCAATTTTCTTTATTTGTTAGGCTTTATTTATTTTAGGTGACAAATTTAATGTTAAATCTTGTCTTGTTTACTATTATTTTGTCATGTTTCTTCTTCCTTTGCTTTTGTTCGAAGAGAATAGTTTCACATTTTAGTGTCATCCCTTGTATGACAAGAACATTTTTTGCATGCAACTCCCCCATCAAATCAAATTTTGAGGTTTTCACATTCCTGTAAGGATTAAACAAACGAGGTAGCCTACGTGTTAATTATTGAGCTCTGGAGATCCTGATAGGTGGTCGACATTATAGGACTGTTTGGACTCAGAGCCCAGCTAGTTAGTTCCCTCTGTTCCCAGTCTTCATGCAAAGCCAAGCTAACTGTCTTCTGATTGTAGCTTCATATGTACAGGCATGTAATGTAATGATAGTGCTATCAATCTTTTCATCCAACCGTCAGCAAGAACATATTAAACTCTTCCCTTGATTTTGAGTGTAAACATAAATGTAAATTTGTCATAATCTCAGAGTTTCTATTCTTAGAAGGTAGAAAATATGAAGGAATGAATTAGCCTACTTTTGTCCATGTATGTTTATTTCATGTGATGGGTCTCTCATTCTAAACTGAATGTTGTTTTCCCTTGGTCACACAGGGTTTGTTTGTTCTGCCTGTTAACGACGTTAAAGTCATTAGTCATACCTGGTCTCCACGATGAGATGTGTTCCTTGATATCTTTTCTCAGGGTTCTGCATTAATAAACTATTCCCTCCCAAATGTCAGTTCTTGACACTATTCAGGCTCGGAGGGGATGAGCCCTACACACAGAATAGTTAATAGAGAGGAGTAATACCAGAATCCTTGTCTTGTCATTTCTCAGAGGCTTAGTCTCCCTTTTATCTTTGATGTAAACTGTATTCTGGTGGAATGCAGCATTCATGTTTCTTTATCCACTGTGTTTCTAAACACACTCAGCAATGAAACGTTTCTCAGTGAAATTACGTTTTATGACAGTAAAGTAAAAGGGCATTTTTGCTAAATTAAATATACCACTGATACAGCCTAGTAAATATTAGTGATCCCAAGGAGCGTTAAAGAGGAGAACATTCGGCCCCGGCATCATTTGCTTAGAATCGTCTCAAGGGACCATTGATAATCAGTGCATTTCCCATTTCCACTGTTTATTGTGGAAAATGTATTACCAATTAGTCAGATTCTTGTGGTGCATCTGCAAGTGACATTTTCGGATATAAAAGCTCCTTGCAACTTTTGTCAGAGTAAAATAATTTATATTCTCTGGACAGTAAAGCAGTTCTTTGTGATTGTCACACAGGCTGTTGGATTTCAAGTTGGAATAATCCATTTGTAATAATGAGCATTCAACACCATGTCCAAAGTGACTGAATAGATCAAACAGATGACTTGAAGTGATGGCTCTCTTCTCTCACCGTGTTCGATTTCTCTTTTTTTTCACCCTACTGGAAAAAAAACTGTTAACAGCATGTAATCATTGACACTTGATTGGAAAAAAAGTACAAGCAAGAAGGCAAATAACAGTCATATTTACTGCAAGGTTTACACTCAGTGTAATAAAATGCTCATTTGGAATAGTTGTAAATGCCATTTTTTATCATTTATTTTAACTCCAAACAAAAATAATTTCTACAAAAAATAGTCA